GACGCGTCCCTCGGGCTATTCCAGTCGTCAGGCTGTATGCGAGTAAGTGGGATCGACGTGATAGCGCACGTGACGAGTAGATTCAGGTGCGCTGGGTCATGCCTGTTTCGTGGCAGATACCGCCAGGTCATAGACTTCACGAAAATCGTGGTATTTACAACATGTTCATGAGCATAGGAATGGGACTACACCGACATCGGCACTCTCTGATATTCAACCAGTCTCATTCTAATGCGAAAACTCCGCACTAAAAATCACGTCGATGGCTGGCCCCCACCCCCCCTAGCTTGAGCGAGTACGACAGGGCCGATGAAGTGTTATCTGGATGCTGCGTTTGCCGCCGCCGTCTGCATGGAGTTTGCACGTTAATCGATACGACGGCGAAGTCAAGGATGGACCGGTCACGGTTAGCAACAGCCTCCTCAGGTCTCTACCGGCCGCAGCTGTGGGTCACGGCATGCGCCGGACTGCGCTGACCCAGTGACGCTGTGGAAGACGCATATTTCGGTGATTTTGGAACATACGTTAGGCAAATCGCCCCAAAGACCATCCCGCTCGAGCTTGCGAAGAACAATAGTGGAAAGAAAAGGGGCTGAGTTGTCGATAGTGATTGGATGTGCGGGTACCGTTGCCGGCCTCGTCCATCAACTGACCGTTATCCCATGTACTCCACTCATGTGCCATGATGCATGCGACGGGGATCCTTGGTCCTTACTCAAGCGCACTCGCGAATCAAAGCCGATCTGCGTAGGGGCAAAAACAACAAGGACAAAAATAACAAGGCTAAACATATTTGCCACTGGTCGCTGTGTATCCACAGCGTGCGTACAAAGGGCCTCAAAATCAACAGTGTCTTCCGGCCCTTGATAAGCGTTGGACGTAGAAGCACGCAATGGCCTGTTTCTTGTCCTTCCAATTTTGGATTGGGCAAATAATCCTTGCCTCGACTACTCCGGGGACGCTTCTCCGGCGATAGCGGTCTAGCTACGTCTATAAACACCCTTCACATTCGTGTAGAAATCATGACAGGGAAGCGCATCGAAGAGCTCACAGCTTGAATAAGCTTCTGGGAGTGCAAGGCCCCCGCTGATTGTCGGATAGAACAGTGGAGGGTTCTGATGGTCCTTCGGCACCCGGGGTGGGGCTCGATGGAAGGAGCTGACGACGCGAGTGGTCTGATCAGACCTCGAGGTGACCGACGTCAAGTTTGACGACAAGCAATAGGGAACCCTGCTCACTGAACCGCCGACGGCCTGCAGGTTTTCCAGCCCAGCACAAGTGGGGTCGGAAGCGCTGCTGTCAAAGTTTGTTGCAAGGAGGAGACAGGCTAGTAGCAATCAGGCCAGGCCGCAAAGCGGCACAAGGCGAGCAGCAGAATGGTCGGTCACACACTCCCCCCCCACCCCCGGCCCCCCCTTCTTTTTTTCTCCCACTCTTATTCTCGGTTTGAAAAATTGCACAGTTGGCCGCCAGCGACCAGGACAATAGGATCCGCATGCAGTCATCTGCCTAGGATATTGAACGTCAATTTTGGTAACAGCCATAACCGCTCGACCGCAAAGGGTTCGCCGATGCTATGTAGTACGTTACTTGTCGCTCTTCGATGAGGAAGCGGCGATCGCGCAATGCCCCTTTGCCAGCCAGTTGACACTCGAGTCTTGAAGCGCGCCTGTCGCAGGACCTCTGCTGTCACTTCCAACGGCAACGGTTGTCAGGAGCCCAGCATGACCAGGGCCGGACCCAGTTCCTATACTGTTCCTTTTTTCTCCCTACTATGTATAACGTCGTTCTCCCTAGTGGCATTCCGGCGGCTGCCACGATCCCTGGCGTTGTTGTGAGAGACATCTCGAACCCGCCTTCTTTGCCCTGAACAGGCCGCTTCAACCGAAAACCAGGGCAATTAGCCGACGCGCAGCATGCGCCTGTCGTTCATCGTATCTTTTTGGCGAGTCTCGCGATGAACCACTCTATCTTGCATACAAGTCGTCGGCGAGCCACGCAAATGTCACCCCGCCTGGACGCAAAGACCACCTTCAAAGCCGCGCTGGGGCAGGCTACGCCGCCATCGTTGGTCCCGGAGCTGATACCAACAAACCCCTGCCATAACCTGCGCATGCAACGGTAACTTGTGGCAATCAATTTGCGGCGACCCGCAACAGCACCGCCCCCGCAAGCACTTTCGCCCAACTTGTCAACAGCATGATTTTCCCAGACACAAAGCCTGAAGCCCTCGAGTTCTGTAAGGTGGCCACCGCCATTGTGAAGCCGAAACGGAAATCACAACATCACCAAGTATTGGCAGAACATCGTCGGATTGCGATGACGGAAGGTTGCCCCTGTAGCAGTGCAACGAACCTGAGCTACTTATGTCACTGGCAACACCAAGCTGTTACCAAAGGTTCCTTGACCCTGTCCGACCCACTGCGTGATGAGACGAACGGGCAGAGACTGTGCCCGATACAGCCGATGGCGAAGCGATTACAGAAGATGACCGTACCCGGAAACCCCTGGCGATTGTGCGCCCAAATCAGTGATCTCGATCAAATACAGGTGTTGCAGTGGTTTGGGGCCGCGACACAGGTCTTCGATTCATGGTCCTCGGGACACGTGCAGCTGGTGGTTCTTTGTTGTCCTCCCTGACCACTAATTCCCGACGCAGTGATACGTCTCGTAACCACACTGCACGATGTAACCAACGAACATGGCGTTGACCATGCCATGGCGCACAAAGTTCCAATATGGAAGGAAGCGCGAAATGGGAAAATGGTAGCGATCAGGGAAGAAAAGGTATCCCACCCAGTCTGGGCTTACGAGCGGCGCATTTGTACATGTTTATGCGGCTGTGCGATACACCTGTAACTTGGCCGTTACGGAGGTTGTCGTAACCGCTGGCTCGGCTGGAGGTTTGGGAGGGGGCTCCAGAGACCATGGCCGACGTGTTGATGCATCGGCAAGCGCTCATTCCAGTGTATCGAGACACATCGTACCCCAATCAGGGGACAGATTCATCCGTTCTTTCGTATCAGCCATACCCTTCTGCCTGGCAATCATCGCCATTCTCGAATGGCAATCATTGGCGCAGAGGCCCTTTTCCTACGATCAAGCAGCGCCCAACAGCTTCGAGCCACTCAACCCCGACGCGGTCGATGATGTTTTCTTTCCCGACTATACAGAGCCCAGCCAGACCGAGAAGGAATTCCGGAACCCTGCCTTGGCCGTCGCCTCTAGCTTGACTAAGGCAAGCAGCACGTCGTTGAGCGGTCGTTGAACGAAACCTACGAGGAGAAAGCTGGGAAACAACCCGGGGGGGGGGGGGGGCGTCGAGCGGCGTTTCGGCGCTTCGCGGTCGTTGAAGAAGTCCGCCCTGATGATGAATTTACTCGGTCGAAGCATAAGCCGAGGAATCCTTTCCGGAGAGACATCTCAGGCGATGGAATGGTTAGAGGGGCTGTTGGAAGACGGAGGTGCAGGACGAGAGTATGCAAGCGGAACAGCCGTCAAGGGCAGGACACAGGGGACGTTCGGAGCATAGGCAAAGAAAAAGACGTGGAAAGCCACATAGCGTATCACAAAGACCTTCGACGAACGGAGAAAATGCCGGATCACGCAGAGAGAGGCCGCTCTAGCCGCAGATAGGTTACTCGTTTTCCTCGGCCTGTCTCATTGGTTGAGGATGCGCAGCAGAAATAAATTTACAGATGTCCAAGCCATTAAGGCAAAAACTATTCCGATCCTGTATTCTTTGCTCCAATACGATCACTCTAACATAATCGCAACGAGAGTCACACGCCATAACATAGCCTGTAACACGTCTCCTCGCTTCACCTTTTCACCTTGCACCGCAATCCAGTTCAGTGTCAATAGCATTAAAGGGCCTCACTCAACCATCTTCCAGCGACAGTGACAGCATTACTCCACGTTCATGATGTTTTGCCGATAGGTGCTCGCTTAGCAGCCAGGCAACCTGAATCGGAATAGGCGGGCGTATCGACAGTGGTCGAGTTCTCAATACGGCAGTCAAATGCGCCGAGCGCTGGGACGTGCGCCTCGCCGGGGCGGGTGGGGTTTCCTACCTCATCTCCTCGCAAGCTCCAATCTGTCGGCACCGAGCTGTTGGAGCTGGGACGTCAACGGCCAGTCTTCTGCTTGCGTCCTGTCGACTCATCAAAATACTTCCAGTATCCTTCGTGCGCAGAGTTTCCAGTGCGAGCCTGTGTCATCCGTCTTCTTGTTAAGGCCGAGCGCCAAGCCATAACACAACACAACCGCGTCCCCACCGTTCGTTCTGGATGTAGAAGCCCCTGGCGATCGTGCAACCAAACCGGTCGCCCAAAACTATGCCTTCGCTTCGTTCAGGTGTGGCAAGGGTTTAGCATTGGTCCAGCATTGCGGCATAGGCCATCGATGCCCACTTGCATGCTCTAGTTGGTCCCGAAGAAGCATCTCTACAATGCACGCCGTGCAGACAAAGGAAGTCAGGTGAGAGGCAAGCCGAGGCCATGGACGGCTGCAAGAATAGCTGCGAGACGTCTTAACAGAGCAGTTGCCCTTCGCCAAAATCCAACGAAACTGGTCGCGGATACCATCATTTTGATGGGCAACATCGAAATCGCTCAGCTCAAGGCGCATCAATCTCGACGCTCGCCTTTTGGCTCGGCTTCACCAGCAGGAGCACGACTCGCCCTCCCACATACTTTCTCCCCCGTCTAGTCAGCGTGTCCCGACGCAGTGGTTCATGTTTCCATCATCCTTGCCTCCACGACATAACCAACGACAATGGTATTGCTCAAGTAAATCCACACTAAGTTCCAACACAGAAGCCCATTACGGAAAGGCGGTAGCAATCAAGAAACAGTCGGTGTTCCAGCAAGTTCGGGTTCTCGAGCGGCGCAGGTGGAAGTGTTTGTTGCAGTTGCGCGTTGCACATATAACTTGGTCGCCATGGAAGAGGTCGCAATCAACTTGTGTGACTCAGAGACCAGCAGAGACGCTCATGCACAATGGACGACCGATCGCTAGTACCATGCTCTGAAGTCAGATCACCTGCAAATTGGGCACCAGATTCAGTTCTCCCTTTACGGTACCCTGACCCTTTTCCATCTCAGCCGCAGAGCTTCCCCAGTCAGCATGGCAGCAATCAACATGGAAGCTTCTCTTTCGACAGGACAATATCGGACGGATTTGAGACGGGGAGCCTCGATTTGGCTGGCGATATCGTCTTATCGAACTACACAGACCCTCTCCAATTTGACGAGCTAGTCGTCGACCCATCGTTACTCTCTCATTCAGGCACGGGCGAAGGTGACGAAGTAGCTACCGAACCTCACCAGGATGGTCGATACCACTCTGCCAGGTCAAGCGCGCGGGCATCGCAGAACGGCTCCACGAGGCCTTCGTCAAACTCCCTATGGGCCGATGGATCAAATCGACGTAGCTATCAAAACTCCAGATTTCTGGCGGCTCCCATGCAAACTCCGACGAGCAAGCCACCTAGAAAACGCAGACGTCGCAGAAATGGCAATGAGGGGAGCGCGTACACTGAAGTCATTGAGGCCGATGAAGCGCCCAGATGGGGGTGGGACCAGCGTCCTCCAGAACAGGCACGAGAGGCACCGTGCAACGACGACAACATCGGGCTGGGGAGGTTTGACGATACAACGCAGAGCTGTGTGTCGCCAAGCGACGCCGGCGTTGCTGTTAACAGCTTGCTGGACTTCTTGGGACAGCCGCAGGCAGGCAGGATGATAGCTTCGGATGATTTCGAGGCGGTCGTGAGAATCTGGAGTTTCATACGGAGGATGCAGTAGACGTGTAGTGTCAAGACCCCGGTCACGGCCTGCGGTGGTAGTTCATGGTGGCAAGTCCGAACATAGGTGCCGGTACGTGCGGAGATTGATCGGGAGGAAAACGTCGAAACTTGCGGCGACCTGAGACGTGTTAGGGTTCCTGATTTCCGGCGTGACGGTCGACGGCTGGCTTTGTCTATTCCGGGTCCATTTGGCGATCTTCCATAGCGATGTAGGTGACTCAGCCGCTGTTTCGACTGCTTCGCGATGTGCTTGTTGGAGAGCTTTCTTTATGATGCGGCCTTTCCTGTTGCGTGCTGTTCTGTATGCCGCCCAGCTCTCCTCTGTCTGTCGCTCGCTGTGGTCGCGGCGGAGTCGCTTCGTCTCGGCCAGGATGGCTGCACACTGCTCGTCCCAGCCTCTCCTAGACTTTAGTGAAAGGGTGCCGGTCGGGACCGCGGCTTTGATAGCGGCTGAGAGGGCGTCCATGGTTGTCTCTACATATCTGTCGAGCGCTGCCTTCGTTCTTGGCCTTTGTATCTCTGGCAACGATCCACGGAGAGTCTCGATAAACGTTTCCTTATCAATAGCTTTCCACTTTCGTTTCTCCTCTCGCTGTAGCTCGGTCGCTGTTATGTGCAGCGACGTCGCTATAGGTAGAAGATCGGAGTCATGGTCGATGTTGTTGTCTACTTCGCATCTGATCATTCGGTCAACAAGACCTACAGTAACGAGACAGAGGTCGATAGTTGTCCGGCGGTCTCCTTCTTCGTACGTAATGGTTTCCGCTCTCAGTTGACTCGTGAGGTTCATGTCGTCCATTAGATCTAGAAGCTCGGTTGCTTCGCGGTCCGGCGCTCGGATATCGCTGCCTCCCCACAGCTCATGGTGTAGGTTGAAGTCACCGACGACGATTTGCTCGACGTGCTGGTGTGTTTCCAGTGTCGTTCGTAGCTGCTGTAGGACCGGCTGTCGATCTTCCTCCCGCGGTGACGGGTTGTACACATTATGTAGCACCAGGCTTGTTTCGGTATCGTCATCTGTTGCGATCACCAGAGTGCAGAGGTCTCTGCTGACCTCCCCAAACTGCCAACGAGAGTGGTCGAGCTTCTTGCTGATGAAGAAGCAGACCCTGGCCGGGCCATTCTCCTCGCTCGAGGGGTAGCACAGGTGGAACCGATCCTTGGCCGGATGGTGCGTCGTTGCGCTGTAGGGGTTCCTCCATGGTTCCTGAATAGCAATGATGTCGTAATTATCAATGTTCGGGTCACGGAGAAGTGTCGCCATGACGGTGTCCTTCGATTTTCTTACGTTGTACTGTAGTATTGTGAGTGTATGTTGTGCGTTCATTCGCTATCGTCGACGACGATCTCCATCGCTGTGCTGTTGCTTATCGTCTGCGTGTCTGTCATCTGCGTGTTGGGGTCAAGCGCCTCGAGCGCTCTTCGCGATCGGATAATTGTGCGTCTCGGACGTGTGTTCTCTGCGGCTACGGTGATCGTCTCCTCCGATTCCTGGGTAGCTGTCGGGTTAGGCCTCTTCTGGATCTTCTTCGTCGGGGACCTGCTCCGGCTCGGTCGGTTTTCCTGGGATTGGCCTGGTTCCAATGTCGGCCGTATGGTCCTTGGGTTCGGCCTGGTCCGAGCTTCCGGTCCGAGGGCCGGCGCCGGGGCCGTCTGTTCCGGGTGGTACCTCGACCGTTGGCCGTAGGCGGCCTTAATCTTGGCCTTCTCGCGGATCCTGGTGGGGCATCCGCCGTGCCACGCTTCATGTTCGCCGTGGCATGCGGCGCATTTCCTTGGGGTCGTCGTGTCGCTCTTCGAGGGGCAATCCCGGGTCGCGTGTTCTTGCGCACAGTAGCCGCATGTTGTCGTTGCCTTGCATTGGGTTCCTATGTGGCCGTATGCGCAGCACTTGAAACCCCGACGACTGCTATCGATTTTCGCTCCCTTCGCCTCGTTCCGGGATATGAAAGAGTTCGTCATTACCTTCTCTCGCCAGCGAGCCAATGTACAGCCACTGCAGATGCGAGACTCTACACCTCCTGGTAACCTTGACTCAGTACCTACGTAGCTTAGCAGATATGTCACAATACCAGAATATTTAATAGATACGTTCCAGGTTCAAATCAAAGTCAATTAGGGTTGATTGAGCGCCACGCCTTGTCTTCCAAGTGATCAATGAGCGCAGTAGCTAGCAGTGGCCTCTGGTAGACTGTCCGATCATCCCAAATGAAGAAACCTGTTATTCAGCTATTGCTTCGCGCGTGAGCCAAGTATAATCTCAGCTTCAAAGCCGCACTGTATGCTTTCTCCTGTCCTACGTCCTATGCTTTTCACGTCCAATGCTAAAGCGAACAAGCATTTCTAGTTAGACAAGAACGCTGACATCCTAAACTCTATGCCTTTTTCCTATCAATAACAAGTAGTAATATGGCGCGACATGGGATGTGTTGCTTGATACGCCAGTTTGCTACGTGGCACCCTCACGTCTCCGTAGCACTCTTCCAACACACGGCAAAGAGTACATCGTGAGCATGTCACTCGGGATTTCTTCCCTACTACCTCGAAATAATCAAACAGAGAATTGCAAGCAAGTGATGGTACGACTCTCCATGAAACCATTTTCTACACCAGAATCGATCTCACCAGCTCGTCTGATGGTTGATGCGCTTGGTTCTGGCTCATGTAAAGCTGATATAAAAATTGTTGTCGGAAACCTTCATCCTATTAGCGTCCTAGATCAGTTCTTGAAGTATGTACATGCTCAGCAACATTACTATACGACTCAAATATATAGAATAGGTGAATAACGAGATCGTACGAACGACATGATGACGTGTCTGATGAGATCCTCCGCACTTATCAGTCAACGTCGAGGAAAGGTGGAAAGTTATTGAATGATGTGATCAGTTGATACAAAGGCGTTTCCCTGCTTTGCGTATGTCATCATGAATGTCACTTTCTGTCATTTGACAGGCTGCATTGCTTGCACTAGCGCACTCAGACGTCCTGTTAGTCATTATGAACCACGTCAGAAAACGTGATCGGAACTCTCTGGACTTTCCATGCACAGAATCGAGCGATGGGGCGTGACAATCGCTTACGCCATTATTGGAATAGATAGCCTAGGGTTTCTCCCGTTTGGCCCTCGGCTTACGCCTCTCAAGTCTACATAACGCTGAACGGCTACGATGTTATCCGTGAAAATATGTAGTTCTTCAAACACCGCGACATCAGCTGCAAGTGGGTTTTCTCAACTTTGGGTCCTGAATTTGCTCCCGAAACTAAAATGCCAAGACAGTAGCGTGTTCCAGTCGAGTGGCTTATGCGCCCAATTTTGCGATCCTTGGGCCTTCGCCATTTGGCAACAATCCCAGTGCTGGTGTTCCAATAGGTCTCCCATCTCGGGACTAACGGAGGCATCGTCATGCGACTCCCCATGTCCCGGGTACCCGTATGAGACTTGTGGGGGCAAAGGTCTTTTCAGTTACGTAGCGATTCACAGAGTCGCCTCGCCCGATGATAGTATCACCTCAATGGCCAGTATTCCGAGGCAAACTTCGGTGGAGACGTTGTATGAGACCCGAGTCTGAAGACACACTCATCAAGACAGTAACACAGACGGTCACCGTCACCAAAGGCGGCATTGGAGTTTCGTCAGACGCCCCGAATATCACGGCAACTGCCCTTTCATCGACAGGATCAGCAACGCCAGCTTCCCGCGAGAAACTCAACCGGGCACAAATTGCCGGCATTATTGGGGGAGCCCTCGTCACAACGTTGATAGTGTTAGTCATTGGTGTATGGAGCCTTCACCGGCGACGGACGCCTTTTGAGCAAGATGACCTGAACACAGGCTCCGTCAGCGATCTCACACATTTTCCTGGCAGACTTGGGGTACTGCGTATTACTAATCCGGACTAATGCCTGACTGGGCATGAACTACTCCAATGAGAGTACGAAGACGATGGATTCTCATGACTGTCTCATCAGAACTTGGAATCCTTATACTTGTTCACAAAATCAACGCCGTTGACTCTACGACAATCAGTGATCAGACATGTCTCACGGCTAGCTTGTTGTTTACATGTTGAAGTGTATCAGCTCGGTCTGTATTCATGTTGTTTGATCACTTGACTCGTTTATATTGCATCACGCTTTTAGTGGTTATCGTCATATTTATAGGCGAGTCACGTTACTACCCATGGCTCAGCAGCCTCGGATTGGTTTTGGTTGTTAATCAACTTTCTTTCAGCATGACACGCTACGGAAACTAGTATAGGCAGCGACTGAATCTTCTCTCATGTGTAACTTTAGAGTGGTGACAACAGCTGGCACAGAGTATCCCGATCAGTCTTATCACGCCTAAGAGAATCACACCTAAGAGAAGAGCATTCCGTATTGACAAGGAAAGTAATTACATCGGGGTCTCGATCTCAGCTACTGCCCGACGGGATACGGAATGTTCACTACAGTATGACCCTTCAGAACAGCGGGAAAGCCAAGAATATGTGGACATACTGGGTTCAGGCCGAGAGCAAGGTCTACAATACAGGTTTCGTCGTAACCATACTGACAATCATTCCCCTGCGGAATGTTGTAGAGTTCGTAGTTTTGCGCCACCCAACTAGTAGGCTGAGACAAACATTTACCCAAATACGTCATGCTGTTTGATGCAGACAGTGGCAGCTTACCATGCGAGAGGAGATGAACGCACTCCTCCGCCTCCACAAACTCGTAGTCCATTTCAACCCCACCTCCAGTAGTCGGTGCTTCTAGCGCGGACTTTCCTGTCACCAGATAGTTCCACGCATCGTAGCTGATGTCATACGATCCCTGAGACTCATCAACCTGCAACAGATGGAGGCTTCGAACACCATGCGACACCTTAACACAGATTGCATCACAGTCGACGTCGCTCGGCCAGTACGCTACACGATTGTGGTTTATCTTGCATCCTAGTACCCCAACAGAAGAACCATACAAGGCGTGAGGCTTGATGAACAGTGTATGAGCCCTAGTTGCGGCAACTAAACTGGCCGAGAGACTAACGATCAACGGGAAAAGCATCTTTGTAGGAGATTTGCTACCTGACAGGGCTTGTGTCTTTTATTTATTGAACGCTCATTCTATTAGATCATAAGCTTCGTAAGGGATGAGGCAATCATTTGAGGTGGCTCGACTTTGTCACACCTCTTGAGGCTCAGATTTGCAACTTTAGCGCGTTATCGTCACTGATTTTGCACAATGTAATTACTCGGACGCATTCTTACGTGCTCAGTCATGCTAAGGAACCTTGACAGGGATTGCGCCTCGTTGAAATGCTGGCCAAATGATTATGATCATACCTATCAGTTTGTTGAGCCGGTGTTTTCTCTCGTATAGTACCTGAACATTTGAAACCTGGCGCTGATGAGCTGGTGCGACGGAAATAGAGTAGGAGCAAGCTACAAGTACACGCACATATTATTACCTGATGTAGCCAATCCCTCCCACGATACAGTCACGCAGCTCGAGATCCGATGACAAGACAACTATGGCACATCGGATGACGTTGGAGAGCTTATTTGGATGTAAATACGGATGTCATGGATACACCTCACTAGCGCGAGTGAACTGGAACGAGGAGCACTCATGTTGGCTTTCTTTACATTTCTCTTTCGCTTCTCCTTTTCATTCAGTTTGTCACACATTACGTAGACTACGCCGTTGTTTTGAGCTGCGTTGCATTGGATAATAATTTATCCGTATCTTTCGCATCTCGTACTCTCCTCATGGACCCTCTCTATCCGTTGCCTGGCCGGGCGGAAAAAGCCTGTAGAGTCTACACAGCCGTGATAGTCTCTTCTTGTTAGACTGAGGGACTTAGACCGTGGCGAGCCTGGCCGTTGGAAAACGTCTCACAGCTGAGGCACGGAGTCTCGATAAGCTGATGGGTGTGCTCGGCCTCCGCACTGAAAAGCTCTCCGCGTTTACACAGTGCACCTCAGACCCATGACAACTACATTCGTTACTAAGCTAGATTAGACCACGGACAGCTCCATAGGGCTCCTCGGTGGGTAAACTACTGAGCTTCTACGCGCATGGTTTGACTGTGTCCCTCGCGCGATGAGCCGGCTTCCGCTTCGACCGGAGCGACGCCTGGTCAATCCTCTGCTGAGATTACGTAACACTCGGCCGAAAGGCTGTCAAGGACCAAAAGAGATCAATATTAGTAGCGACGGAAAGACATATCCAGCAATCTATCGCGTGAGTATTTGTATGTTTCATGCGTGTGTCTACGCAGGGCGACGCTTGGACGACGAACGTGTCGCGTTCAATAATTATATCGACTCAATTTGACAGCGTTTGCGTCAACAAGACTCAACAGGAGGCATAAATGACATGGGCCAGCACCAGTCTCACTGAGCAAGGTAGACACGCTATCTCGCCACACCATCAGTCCACTCTACCTAACAGCTGCGAGGTTCAAGGAGTCAGCCCCAACTACTAAGAGTGCGAGCATTACATTTCAACCGTCTCAGTCGACAAGTCTTTCTCACGTGCTCTAGGAAAGAACGTTACGACTTGAGAGTGATAAATACCATCTAGGACTATTTCATCGTACAGTCTTGCCGTTTTATGAGAGACGTAAGGGCTTACTGGAAATGTATTCCAGCATTGTTGTGACGTCTTCGTGCAAGATAATCCAGTCGACCTCTCTCAACCGCGCCAATTTGTGATGCGTCGCAAAGGCACCAACTACAATGATCCCCTGGTACTCAGCGTCCGATCCAGGTCGCTGCAGTACACGGTAGCCGTTGTGGAAAGCGCGGCCGATGGCGAGAGACACCCTCTCTGGGTGTATACCGTCTTTAATCTTTACCCAGCCATTGCATTCGAGCAAGCTGTCTAGCGTATGTTCAGCCAATCTCCAAGGCCCGAGTATGCGGCCCGTGCAGTAGTCGTTCAAAAGGTGGAGACTCAATCTGGTGCTGTCGCGACATAGTCCGATGACCAGTAAGCAATCGAATCGATTTTTGTCCAGAATGCGTTTCGCCTCATACGCTGCGCTGGGGTTCCAGAATCGGGTGACCGGCGTCAAAGCAAACCAGATCTCATCTTCCATCACATCCGCGTCCTTGAGCAGAAAGAAGTCGTCCACTTCTGGGCAATCGAGTTGTGGGGCGGGCTTATCATGTCCCATACACTCAATGACGTGTCTTGGTTCCGCAAGTCTGATCAATGTCGGGTCGGTGCCTGTTGGACTTGGTACGATATAGAACTTGGATCGAATTTGGGGTGCATCATGAGCTGCATTTGCTGCTCGTCGACGTCTTACGAGTTCTCGTGACGGGATGGGCGCTTCCGGTCGCGCAACCATTCGCTGTTCATTTGGTCGCAGGAACGATGGCGGAGGAAAGGTTCCCGCCCCTTCATGGCGCGGGGATGTTTGCGCTCTTTGGAGTCGCCGTGCCTCTGTCAGAACTTTGGCAAATGAAACCATGTTGTTTCTCGACGCTACGCGGTGTGTTTTGTCGCCGGTCAAGATGGTGGGCCTATAGTCCTCAGACTCGATTCGTATGGCTACGTTCGTTAGACATTCTCATCCGATGGACTTGACGCCTACTCCGGCGACTTACTTGATTGGATGGCACGACTTTATGCAGTTACAGGCTCCAGCTTAAGCGACCTTCAGGTGTCTTCGCGTTCTCGTGCAGAAAGGTGAACGATGCAGTCTCCCAGCCTGAATCCGGGCAGCACTGGTTGAAGATAATGGTCAAGTCTTAGTTCTCTAGACACTTTCAGTTGATCCATTTCCGCCTCCATATCCGACCAATGATCAGTGAGGGAGTTGCAGGCTGGTATGGATATTGTATCAGGGTTATTTATTGTGCTACTTATGTACCGGCACTGGCCAAAACTCCCAAACATCAATCTGCAAGGTATGTGGCAGCTAACGTAACCGCGGATTATCGAGAGCGTCATTGTAGTGAAGTCAGCAATCCGCATCTGCTTACTTTCGACGGTAAGAGCAGTTAGTGGTGGGTTATTCAGGAGGTGAACAGTTACGGACATGATAACTGGTACGAAAGGAAGAAAGAGCATTCTGGTAGTGTTAGCCACCGTTCGTTTGCAGTCCAAGCAACCACCTGGCCGACGGTACGCGTTTCGTATGAGACATCCTTGCGCATGGGGCAAAGTTAACGTCAACCTTTGATCAGGGTATTTTCTCGAAACATCGCCTGTCAGCTCGTGACAGGATAACAAATTTTTCGTCAAACAACAACATGGGCGCGTAAGCCTGCGGCGTGGTCTTTGCTACTGCCTAGCCATCTTGGCATTTAGGCTCTAAATCGTTTTTTCCTTACGTCGTTGAACGGGGCAAATACAGAGCATACTTGCAGTTTTCATTGTGGCATTACTCAAACTACGAATTTTCGTTTTTGAGAAGAATCAGCAGTACGATCTATTCACAATCCAACTCAGTGCTCAGGCGCGATAAATATGGCTAACTATCAGAAAGCTGGATCACCCCGTCCCAAGCAATGGAGCTCATCAGGCGATGTCCCGGATCAAAAGCCCAATGATTTCCTCACTGCCTTGGAAGCGCTTGAGCAATAGTGGACTTTACGACATATATTATCGCTACCAGCTTTGGTAGATCAGTGACATGTCCATCTTGACTCTGCACTACGTACCTTCCATCAACTTCCCTCTCGCCTAATTTTTCTTGGCATCTGCTGTTAGTGAATGAGTGAGCCTACCACCAAATTACTAACAGCCGAAAACTCTTCACCTCCCCTTGCCGGAGCCCGCATCCGCGATGGCCTCACAGCCGCCGTCGGGCACCGGACTGATGTCGGCCGACCAAGCCGACCCCGAATCAGGCTCCGGGACACCTCCGGAGCCGAACCCCACCTCAAGAGCTAAGCGACGCCGCGACGCCGAGGCACAGCCGACCCGGCCCAGCCTAACGGGAAGCCAGCTTGATGCCACCACCGACGCCCCTACCTCGGCCGAGGGACCCGCAGCCTCTACCGCATCTGCTCCGAGCGGATCTGCCACAGGGTCCGTCTTGACAGCCCTTGCAGAAGAAGCTAGACAGTACGAGGCACGGAAAGACGTCTTTCTGACCATTGCACGGTCCGTCGACAGCGTTGTCGCCAGCTTTGACGGTTCTAGAAAGCAGATCGCGAAAGAAGCCACTGCCTATGTCATTCAAACCCTCAAGAGACTGATCAATCACGAGACAAGCCCAATAGCGGCCCGGAGTTGGGCGGCTGTCGTCGCACCGATGGCGGGCAACACCACTGCGGCGACCCGGAGCGGCCAGAGCTGCCAGAGCTCTGCCCGCCCGAAGGCCACACTCCCCGCCGAGGATCAGCCGCAGGCGCAGCCGAAGGAGGACCTCCGCATCTTTGCCCGCGTCCCGGAAGAAAGCTTAGCGGCCGCTCGGAAGATCGCACCGTTCGCCGTACGACAGATCGTCTGTAAGGCCGTTGGCCTGGGGCTAGCGGACCTTCCCCACGTCTACCATATCAGCACAGGTTACTCTCTGAAGCCGCGAAACAAGCAAATACAGGAAAGACTACTTGCAAGTAAGGCAAAGCTGGCGGAATGCCTCGGCGCCCACCAGGTCGAGACGCCTATCAAGTGGTACACTTACGTTGTGCCGCGATGCCCAACAAAACTACACAGCATTGGCGGGGACGTCCTGGACCCAGCCACACTCGTTGAAGATGAGGTCTTCGCACAGACAGGACAGAAGCCTGTCCTTGCTCGACCGTCCCGCCTTGGGCCCAACCCAGTCACGAACGAAATATCTTGGCTCATATCATCACATCAGAGGTCACGCCCTTCAGGCTCTTCAACCAAAGCGGCAGAT